GGTTTCTGTATACGACGCTTCGGTCGTTTCATTGCGCCTATGTCTCGCATTTTTAGCTTTACTCGCGCCATCAGACTTAGGCTTTTCTGCGAGGGATTTAGAGGATCTGAGTGCTTTCGGACGCTTTACACACGCTCCAGACTACAGCCGCCATTGCCGACCTTCTCGTGTCTTACTGAGATGCCGAACCACTGAAGCGGGCGTTGACGAGCCTCGCACAAAGGCGCTGCGGAGAAGTACACAGTGACATCTAAAATGGCAATAACCTGACTGTTGTGGTAATGAGGAAGTGAAGCGAACGGAATAAGAGGAAACTGATGGTCGGTCATGGCGGCGCCCATGCACAGCTGCCGTATATCGTTTATAAGGGCCGGGCGCTCGGCATTGCGACGCAATTTGTGCAGCAGTCAATGTCTATAGTCATACGAACACACGCGTCTTAATTTTAGAAAAAAATTACTGGAGGACGCTTCAGCTTCGCTTTTTAAGAGTGGAACGCGATTACAAAACATGTAAAGCCCCACTCGTTTCCAAGCCTAGTCGGTCCGGCTCGTAACCGAAGGGTCGTAGGTTCGAATCCCGCCTCCGCCTATAATTCATCCATTTTTTCTTTATGGCAAATGAATTACTTTATAATGTGAAATCATTTGAAATATGCGGCGACCTTTCATTCGCTTTACATGTCATGTTTTAATCCCTTTCATTCCACAAGTGACGTCACGTTTCACGTGATGTTGTGGGTTGTTTGGAATTCGCACGCAAGGTCATGTGGCTGTGACGTCATGATTCTATCGACCAATTCTGGATTTTCCCGTCCCAACGCCACCGACGCCGGCTTTTCTGCGACACGCTTCAAAAACGAAACAGCACTTCATGAACACTGCGGGAGTCTGCGTCTCAAAGTGAAGCACTGAAACTTACAGCGTGCTCCCCTGCCACCCCAAAGATATGTGCATGATGATCTAGGAACGAAATTATCGTCGACTTGTGAGTGAAAGTTCCTCGTCGGTTGATAAAAAAAAAAACCAAAATGTTAATTAACCTTTTCTTTTTTTGTGTGGACGCAGAGTTGTAGACATGACAGTGTCATGTTGTCTATTCTCTTTGGACATTCTACTAACATTGTGACTGGGTCAACATTCCTATGAAAATATATGGCTTTAGTCGATTCGACTGCATACAATCCGCTTCGTCATGCTGCGGTGGCGTGTTTTGGACCGTCAAGCTTTCCCATAAACCGACATGAAAACACGGCTTTTGTGCGTGGATCACCCGGCGCGGGCTCGCTTTGCGTAAAAATCTATGAATGCGGTAAAATTTCTATCTGCGCGTCACTCTGGGCTCACTCGTGCTCACCTGGTTCTGACGCAAATGCTCGCGTGCGCGTTGCTTCCGTTATTACTCGTTATTACTGCGAAATCGGGATATATGTATATACGTATATATACTTCCTGCTGCCATGCGACGCACGGCTGTGTTATAACAGATGACAAACTGTCGTTATTCAAAGATGTACCTATACCAGCTGTTTATTTTTTCCCTTTCAAATTTTAAAAATGTGCAGCACTCGAATAAGCCAACTGACTCCCTAAAATTTAGCATATATATATACATATATATGAGGATTGTAAGAAAAAATCATATTGAAAAGGAATACAAAATTCCGTTCATTGAATTTTCATTTTTTAGCAAATATTAAAAATTAAGGTGCAATTAATCTAACACCTGAAAGGAATCGCGTCGTTCGTTCGGAAGCTGCGGGATTCGAATATTTATCAGCAAATTTCAAATGCCCGTACACTTTCGTTCTCGAGATTCCTCTAGCTATATGGTAGGGCGATAGCACGATGAATGAACTTGCCATTTATCCACTTCAGTGACCACGCCATCTTGTGTTCTGTTCATTTTCATGACGACGCTGTACGCTTTATTAATTCCGTAAATAAAAACAACGAAAAAAATTACAGGAATATCTATAGCAAGCTAGCAATGGTCAGGCGGCGCCACGAGAGTACTGTATTCAGCGCCACAAGCGGAGACGTGTCTGTTAATGGGGCGGCCAGTCTGTCCGTCAAGTGTGACAAGCGGCGGCGACCCTGATTTCAGCAGTCCCCGGGTGCACGTGCCAACCATGTCCCAGGTTTCTTTATGCGGTTTTAAGACCATCGGGAGCCTTCATAGGTCGAAATGTTTAGAGCATATTCTAGAGTTACCATTTGGACAGTACTTTGAGTTGTCTTCACCAACATAATAAATTGTGGGTAATGAACCAAACTCTGCATGCTAGAGAAGAGTGCGCACATTGCAATGGCTGTAATGTGATATGCAAGCCTGGTGTAAAAAGGCGACAGGCCACAAAGTGTATATGTGAGAAGGATATTTACACCTCGCGTGAGCTTTTTCCAAAAAAAAACTCTTCCATACTATTTTCTGCACGCCGTCACATTTGTTACCAGACTCAGCATTGAATTTGGTTGCCGAAACAAACAAAACTTAATTTGGTTGCGACCGCGCGTGCCAAACGCCTATGCACGCCTACGACTACGATTGCCGTAACGGGCCGACGGGCCTCTGGCTTGAAGGCCTAATCACCTGATGTTCAATGTCACAGCGAAGCAACAATCGGCCTTATTGTTCCTACCGTATTTCCCTGTGGGCTGTCTAAGTTACTCGTAAAATAACTTCTATAAATATGTTATTTTGCCGAGCATAGTCTGCAAAACGAGTTCGCCAGACCACTTTTTAAGACTGCACATCTAGTTTTGTTCCCTTCAACAATTAATGCAAAATTCACTTACTTGATGCGTCGGACTGCAGTGATCCACTTCTGTCGCTATGTCGCTTCCCAACAACTCGAAGGGAAGCGGTAAACTGACGCTTGAGTCCCCTTCGCGACTGTGGCAGTCCTTCACGCATCAGTAGCGACGTTCATTTTTGGGATGAACAGCATCCATTGTTTTAACTACACAAACACATTACAGCCCACGCACCGCTACTACAGAAACTTAGAGCGAAGAACAACCGGCGGTAACTAAGCACGCCCGCATTCCACCGCGCCTCGGTGCAACACCTCCTGGATAACAAGGCCGTAATGCTGAATGAGATGGCGTCATCAGAGAAGGCTAATGCTGGGCACAGATTGGATACGACGATTGTGTCAACGTTCGGCTAATACTTGACTCGAAGCCGAGTGCTGACGCAGCACTCACTTCCAATCTGTGTCCAGCGTTGGCCTTCTCTGATTAAGCCATCTCATTCAGCACTACGGCTTTGTTATCTAGGAGGTGTTGCGCGGCGCCTCCTCTTCTCTGGCTCCGCGCCAGCTGTACTGTACGCGTGATTTTGCCGAAATCTTGAGGGCTCGTTTTGACGAAAACCCGGCGGTGTCTGTCAGTTTGTCAGCGCCGGAGTGAAAGGAAGAAGTTGACGCGTGCTTACGTCAGCGCTTCGGACCAGTGGGAGCGTCTCACGCGATAACTGACAAACAAAAGACACCGCCGGGTTTTCGTCAAAACGAGCGTACTAATGCTAACGCATGAAAAACAGGAGCAACTGTAGACGCAGCCGACACTACGAAGTAATGGGACCAATCAAGGAATTTCAAAAGCACAAGTCATTAGCACTTCCTGTTTGATTTGTTCAGCGACAATAGAACACGTACATAAACATGAGGAACATCATGATGGTGCGCTTTTGACGCTGCCTGTTTGGTCCCATCTGTCCGTAACGTCAAAGAGTGGAAATTGAGTCATCGTCTTTACAGTTTAAACGAGCACGTTTGCAGCCACAAACGGCATTACGCATATCCCGTTTTTTCGGAGAGTGATGCATCCGCGCACGCCCCATTATCCGAAGCCAGGGCCACCGCCTTTATGCTGACTAGAACCCGCCTCCGACTGTTAACAGCGTCCTCAGTCGTTGTCCCTCAATTACCCCCCGATGGCGTCGCACATGTACTACACTGATCAGCCAAAACATTATGACCACCCCTTCATTTTGAGAATGAGCGCGCGTGCCATCCGCGTTTTCTACTATCAGCTGTTGCGTGTGGTAGATAACGGCTGCCATGGATACAAAGGGGTCGTTTTGTCTATCACGTGTTCATGCAATGATAAATGCTTCTTATTTGAGCGACTTCGACAAAGGTGAGATCAGGATGTCAAGATCACTGCTGACCCTGTTACTCTAGTTCGGGGTTTGTCTTCCCCACTGGAACTTGAATCTTCCAAAAGGACAGCGTTCCATGTCACAAGGCCAGAATTGTGCTACAGTAGATTGAAGAACACGACAATAAATTCTAGTCGATGTCCTTGCCACCTAACTCGTCAGATATGAATCCTATTGAGAACAGCTGGAATGTGTAGGGTGGGGGGGGGGGGGGGGGGCATTTTCCCGTAATCTACTGGAATTGCGCGACCTGGAGGCCCTAAACTCGTCAAACACCAAGTTGGAGCCGAAAATTCGCGGAGCGCGTCGATTGGACGTCGGCGACAAAAGTGCGAAGTCATCGTCGTGATTGTCCAATCGGTGCGTTCTGTGAACTTCCGCCCAACTTTGCGCTTGACGAGTTTAGAGCCCCTGTGCTTACAAATTTGGTACAATCTTACTCAAGGCACTAACCAAGGGCTTATAAAATCCATGCCAAGATGATTTACAGCTGTTTCGTGCACCGTAGGTGGATCAACACGGTAGTAGGTTGGCGGTCATAATGTTTTGGCTGATAAGTGTTCAAGCTGTTACCTGCCGCGATCCTAGGGGAGTCACAACAGCGGAGATGGCTTTCCATCGTCACATCCCATGGTAGCTTAAAGAGTCACCAGTCGGCATGCTGCGACAACAGCGACACTTGCGTTCGCTCGTCTACTTTGCCGGAATTTCTACGACAAGCTTCCGGGATCACGACGTCCGATGGTATGGCACTCCGGCACTTGTATCGCAATTCGTAGCCACTGCGGAAACACTCTCGACCAGTTGGTAGCGCGTTCTGGGCACCGTATCCATTGGGAGGGACGAGAATAAGCGAGAAAACGAGCTGTCACAGAGCAGACCAACTTTAAACCGGAGAGTATTTCTAAACGAAAGAGGAAATTTGCCTTCATTTTTTATTGCCGCATTGATCTGGCACGCCTTCGTGGCAACGAAAAAGCTCTCCAACTAAACAAATGGCACATAGCGTTCTGTATTCGAACCTGCCCAGTGGGGGTCTCGCGCTAATTCATTCTTATGCAACGAGATTATTGCTCGCCTGGTGGTGAAAATACGAAGCTGTTTAGTGAGGGCTTAAAAGCACGTCTTGGAGTCACAGATTGCGAGCTAGGTCTTTAGAAGTGAGCAAGGCGCCCTCGGGCAGTTATCTTGAGTTGGTATCAGAGAGAGAGGGAGGAAGAAAAAAAAGAGAGAGAGAGCTGGCATTGTACTCTAAGAAGCAACCACAGTCCAGTAAGCGACAGGAATAAGGCAAAGTCGTCGTATCCACGTTATCCACGTGGACAAGCGATCAAAAGAAATCGAACACAATCTGGCGGCGAAAACAGAAGGAGACGAGAAACGTCTGTGTATTGCTCCACTGTTGTCGTCGTACGGCGGCGAAAGAGCTAAGTTGACAAGCGGCGATTCCAAAACTGGCGCCTATTGGAGTGGTCGGTCACGTTCATCTTCTGAATGCTATATAAGGTAAAGTGGCGAGGGGCCACCTTACCGGTACTGTATCAGTATAGTATGCTGGCTGCAGCGCTAAGCGTTTGGACAGTGTCGTGACGCCATCGAACAACCCTCGCCGTATTAGAGGACAAGTTCGCATTCTTATTTGAATAGATTTCTATACAATACGTCGTCCCCCAGCCCCGTCCGAGGCTCGGTGCGTAACTGCTAATATGGCGACTCGGCACTGGCTCATGACGACCCCGCGCCGAGACGACGATGACGACGTGCAGAAGACGAGACGGTGACGCAGCAGGGTTGCGTGGGTCCGACGTGTTCACGACATTCCCAACGCCGCCCTGAACTCGGCGATCCCTTCGCGGTTTACTTGGTTGACGGCGGACAGCTCCCGTTGAATCCACTCGTACCAGGCCTTCACCTTCGGGAACGGAGACATGTCGTACTTCACCACCTGTACGCGAAAGATCGCGGATTCAATCAGACAAAACGATTCTGATACCATAGGAAACACGATGGTATACAATTTGCTATGCGGAGAGAAAGTCGTCTGCTTCTTGAGCAGGAGTCACGGTGACTTCAGAAAGACGCCCAGCTCTGGTTTCCTCTGATTGAAGGATTGGGGGTAGACCTCAAAGTAAGCTGCCTTGAGCTCTACTCAATATTCTAAGCTGCCTTGAGGTCTACTCAATATTCAGACAGTGTCTGCAGAGTGTATGCGTGATGCGCGATGTATGTGACCGTGGCCTAAGACTTCTTCAGGGCGCCAGAAGATCAGACACTTTTTGGAGGTTTATAGGACTCCAATATACAGGACAAACAAATACACGCACAAAAACAACAACAACAACAAACAAAAAACGACGGACAAAATGTTAAACAAACGCTCTTTATGCTTCGTTCGATGTTCGCGCGGAAGAAGCTTATCCGAGTCCGTCGGGAAGTTCAGTTTTCGAGCAATCCTTACATACCAGCTTTGACTTGCTTCGGGTATTGCCTGAGCAAACAATTTCCGCAATATATATTTACAAAACGGAAACTTCGTAACCTATGCGCCCTAATAAGGCGGAAGCAATGTCCCCGTTTATCATTGTCAGCGCTTGCGCAGGCGCCCTTCGCTTAAGGACTTGAGGCTTGAGTCTCAGTTTAGCGAATCCCCGGGGCTCATTTTTCTCTAATCTAAAACTTCCCCCCTCCCCCCCCCCAAGAAAAAAACAAAACAAAAACAAAAAAACGCACATGCATACATTAGGCTTTTTTTTCTTCTTGGCTTTGTCCAAGTGGAGGGAGGTCAGGTGTACCTTGCCGTGCACACGTATACTTTTGACGTTTATAAAACATCTAACATTATTACACCTGAATTTCGTTACTTTTTCCTGTAACGGGAGGACGTTTTTTGCGTCTTGCTAACAGGAATGGCCAAACCTTTTCCACTACAACGAATATCGTAATATTCTTGTCACATTGAATCTTTTGACATTTGCTGCAATCGTGCTTGCCATCCGCGTCAAAAACTGCGCCCAGCGAAGATCGCGAAACGTCTCCAGCTCTTCAGATGCCTCTTGTTTTTCGAGTGCATGCACTGAAGAAAGCATAACATAAAGAATGCCTAAAAAGATAGATTCTCGTCAAAGGTGTGCGATAAGTTGTTCTCACAAGTCGATACTGCCTATTCAGCAATCGCCTCTAGAACTAATTTCTATCTTTGTGTTTGGTGTATCAGGCGAACCTTGCGTGGTTAGAACAGCCAATCAAACAAGCAAAGAATGACCACTCCGTAGCGTAACGCCCCTACTCAGGGAACGGAATCTATAATATGACCGGAAAAGAAATCAGTCCTCCCCCCCCCCCCCCCTCTCCCCTCCCCAACTACACCAGGGTTTTCGCTGGTGTGCTTGGTGACAATACTTGGGCAACTCAGATACCGTCTGTGCCGCCTGCTTCTCAACACCGGACTCTACAACCAAGAGCCTTCAACTCCGCCTTCTTCATCGGTTCCTACCGTCCCTCTTCAGTCCCTCAAGGTTGCGGCTCCATCCGCCGGCGCGATGTCGGTTTTGGTGAATCACTACCCCTCTTCACTTTTACAATTTTCTCTTCTGTCAACTTTTAGCCACTCCTCCCTTCTCCCCAACTATAGTTGGGGAGAAGGGAGGAGTGTATAACAGTCAGAGGCCAAACAGTCATGATTATAATGATGACTGTTTGGCCTCTGACTATGACATACACACGTTGATAGTTCCTCTTGTGTAAGTATTATTTCTCTCTCTCTCTCTCTCTCTTTCTAAAGAAAAAGAAAGATTGCGAGTGGGAGGGAGACAAAAGTTTAGGAGAAATATTATAAAATAAACTCACAGTCAAACTTACAGAGTGGTGAATGGATGATTAAAATACCAACACGTACGCGCACGCACACCCTCACACGCACTTAGCCCCGAAAAGACAGTGTCCTCCGCTCACGGTGACGCGACTTTTGTCACTGTGAAGTATTTTTGGAGCCTCTCTGACAAGGCACACAACAGTATAGGTCAGGAAGTTTAGAAGCCGCTGAAGTGCACGACGTCTGCGTTTTGATTGAGAGGGGAACATAATGTCTTCTGTTGTGAGCTTGTGGAACAACTCATGTCGCAACATTTCATAATCCTCACTGTAAAGGAGCTGATATTGCAAAAAGCGAAAGTAGGCATGCGAGCTAGATTGGAAACATCGTAATATAAAACCTGAGAAACAGACAAATAAAGTAATGAACAAGGCGTCTTGTACGTTACTTTACTTGTCCGTTTCTCAGGGTTTAGATTATGATACTGCAATTTTTCTTTTTCTTTGCATTTGTTACACACGAGGTTGTCTACAACGTTTATGCTATAAATAAATATTTAGTAAAATCGATATTTGCGCGTAAACGCATTAGAAACGAATTAGCTAGAAGAAATCATCTGGCGACGCAAGGCTGATACGCTGTTCGGCTCGAAGGAGCAAGGTTGCCGATGTGGACCTTGACAAGGCAAAGAGAGTCCTTGAAGCTATATTGGCCTTCAGATCGTGAGGAATCGGTTGTGTGCCTTTCCAGCCAGTTGGTCAGCTTTAGAGTTTCCAGGAAGTCCAACATGTGAATGAAAACTGTAGCGCGAGTTTCTTTTTTTTTTTCTACTTCCTTTCGAGGATTTTTAGGATTTTTAAAATTGCACCAACTTGTTCGTCACGAGTTCCTGGTCTCGGAAGCCTTCGAAGTGCTGTGCGGAAGTCGATTATCTCGACTCTCTGTTGTTTATTTCAGTCAACGTTTATTGCGGAAAGTGTAGATAAAGCATTTTGATGGCCTTCATTTCAGCGGATGTCGATGATACCAGCCTATTAAATCGGACACTCCGTTGAATTTCCATTGCTGGGATGATAAAAGCGTCTGCAGTTCTCCGTCGACCTCAGCGCACAGTTGTCGACATAAATTCGATGTTCTCCCGGTTATTGTAGTGGGAGATCACCTTCTGCACTTCTCCAAGGAACAACGTCTGGATTGTCTTTTCAATTAGACCTAGGAGACGCTTCTGGTACACTAATGCATAAGTGTTAGCTTTTTTTTTTTTTTTTTTTTTTTTTGAGAATACTTAGTATACGTTTCTGTATAGTAAAAGCGGTCGCGCGGTGGGGGATGAGTAGAATGACACATGTAAGCAGATGATTTTGCGCTATGAAGGGATGGGTTCAAGAAATAAACGGTTCGTAAAAAAGCTGTCGGATCTGAATTCAAGACGAAACAATGAGGGTGTCGGAAGGTCAAGCATGTGGGAGGGTACAACCGAAAGATTGAGGAGGGTGAATTCCCCCTCGACTGACCACCGAGGATACAGATGACGTTCGTGAACTTGCTTGGTGTTGTGGCTATGGCGTCCGCCTCTGATTTTTTTCTGAAGCCTCACATTAAGGGTTACTCCTAGGAAACGATATATACTGGCTTGGCAAATCGCTGGAAAACTCACATAGAGGTCAATAAGTCAGTGGGCGTGGGAGCGTACACCCGGCAGAACTTCCTGACCAATATGTTTGTTTTCGTACAGCCCCCGCTAGCGTGCACTCTCATCTGCCTTCCATCGCTGGGCCGGCCGGTAGCAGCCCTACAGCTTCATCCGTTTCTCGGATCTACAACCGCCATGACGCAGAGCATCTCAACGCCTATCAACTTTCGGAGCGCCACTATCGCGGACTGCGTGACAGCAACAACGCAATCAAGATACCCCCATGGTGCTTCTCGTCACCCTATAAAAAGGAACTGCAGCGAGGGCGGCCACTCCAGTGGGCATGGGAGCGTACGTCCGGCAGAACTTCCTGACCCCGATATGTTTGTTTTCGTTCAGGTATGTAAACGGTACCCTTTAATTAAAGTGAAAAGTAGCAATGATTACTTCCGTGTGCTCCCGTGCCCCCGGGTTCTCTTTGGTGTTGTTCGTGACTGTGCGAGTGTACCCTGGTCCCTAATGTTTCTCAGATCTACTATCGGGTGACATTGAGTTCAACCCAGGACCTATGACCGCTCAGAAAGCAGAGCAACTTGCTGCAGTGCACACGCTCGTTGTGTCACTCGATGCTAGCAAGACTTGAGGAGCGGCAGGTTCTCTTGGAACTGATATCAAAACGTATTAATAAACAAGTGCTTCTGGATAACAGTATCGCTTCCCTCGATAGAAGAGTTGCTACTATTCAAAGCGAGCTTTCATCCGTTACCTCGATCAAAAAAGAGGTCGCCGATTGGAGCAGGATCGTTAATGACCAGGCAGCCGCTACGTCTTCCTTGGTATCTCGCCTGGATGACACTAAAGATCGATCAAGGCGGTGTAACCTTATATTTTATGGTTTGCCAGATACTACGGGTGAAACCTGGTTAGAATCGGAACGTAAGATTGTTAGTCGTGTTAATGAACATCTCGGCATTACTCTTGATGACTCCCACATTGAGCGCGCCCGCAGGATAGGTACGTTCAATGCAAAGAAACCAGGCCGGTTATTGTCATGTTTTCTTAATTTAAAAAGAAAAACCAAGTCCTTCTGAGCGCATTCAAATTTAAAAGATCACCGTTTTCCTTGTCTGAGGACTTCTCTGTGACGATGCGAGCAGCCCTTAGCCGGCTCCTTGCGTTTGCAAAATCCCAATCGCAACCGTACAAATTACGCTATGATAAGCTGCACATTGGTGATAGGACTTTGTTTTACGACCCCGCAACTACATCTGTTAAAGACCTTACTAGATAAAATAGCGCGGGGAGTGCTTGTTCGGCTGACTCTGTAACAGTGAACACCATGGCAATTAGTGTTTTTCATGAGAATACTGCAAGTGCTCGCGTCCCTTGCTCTGTAACAGCGAAATCCACGACCATCAGCGTCCTTTATGCAAATGCTAGAAGTATTCTACCAAAGCCAGATTATATGTGTTTTTTAATAAGCCTATGTGAAGCAAGTATTGTTTTGATATCGGAAATATGTCTTTCTCCTGATATAGATGACTGGGAAATTATAGACGATAATCACGACTTTAACATTTATCGTTGCGACAGGACAGGCTGGCGTGGCTGTGGTGTCCTTACCAGTATTAAGAAAGACATTCCAAGCCAGCTTATCTCAGTATCAAGTGTGTTGCAATCGGTTTAAGTGTGTTTAACGTTCCTTTAAAATTATATTGATAGGTGTCTACTGTCGTCCCCCTGACGCCGTCGTTTACCGATTGCTTACAAGATGACTTATCTGTCTTGTCATGCTCCTATCCTAATTGCCCCGCGCTTATCTTCGGGGATTTTAACTTCCCCAGTATAAATTGGAGCGGTACTTCGCCAAGTGGCTGTTGGAGAGGCAGGCACCCGTGCCTTTCTAGATGTGTGCTCGATGTTTAACCTCACTCAGCTGGTACATTTCGTGACTAGAGTTGTAGGCAATTGTTCCAGCACCCGGGATTTGATTATTTCTGATAACCCTGCATTGGTTCGTCTAATCTCCTGCCACAAAGCATTACACTGTTGTCTCGATGTTCAAACCCCCAAGTGTGCGAGTGTTGTAAAAAAAAAAAAAACAAAAAAAAAAAACGTTTGTACAGTAAGGCCGATTTCGATTCAATTGCGGTGTGTCTATCAGATTACTTTCCCCTCTATAATGAGAATTTTGATTCAAAAAGTGTTAATGACATTTGGTGTTTATTCCGTGACAAGCTGCAAGACCTTGTAGAGGCCTACGTTCCTTGTGCTGTGATCAAATCTAATGTCTCGAGCCCATGGTTCACTTGTTCGCTCCGTTCTCTTTCTAACCGAAAGCAACGACTTTTTCGTACAGCCAAATCTGTCAACACGACTAAATCTTGGTTGCGATACAATGATTGCGCCATTAAGTATAAAACTGAGCTACGTGAGCGTAAACATATGTAATTTTACGATACACTGCCTAGTATTTTACAAAGTAACCCTCGCAAATTCCGGTCTGTTGTGAATCCTAAACCGGATTCTTTTTTTTAAGCTAAATAACGACTCTGGTACTCCCATTCCGGATAGCGAGTGTGCATCTCTTTTTTTTAATAATGCTTTCTCAAGTGTGTTTACTGATCCTAATTATGTCAATCATGCCTCCCTCGTTTCGTGTGATTACTTCCCAATAGACCCAATTAGTAGATTTTATTGGAATTGTTAAAATCAATGATTCTTTGAAAATGTCCTCGTCCTGGGGCTTTGATAATATAAATTATAAAGTACTTCGTAGCACAAAGCTGACATCTGCCCTTTTTCTCACCAGAATATTCCAATAATCGCTGGAGACGGGAAAGGTACCATGATGTTTGGAAATTCTGCAAGGTCGTCCCGGTTCACTAAGGCGGCGCTAAAACATTCCCTCTCAACTATAGGCCGATTTTCCTAACTTTCATATCTTCTAAAATTCTAGAGCATATCATCGCCAAACATCTTCGTACCTTCCTAGATTCAAACAACTTTTTCTGCAACTCTCAACATGGTTTTCGCAAGTCCATATCCTGTGAAACCTAACTTACCTGCCTTACTAACGACCTCTTTCAGAACATGGACTCCGGCTATCCTACTCACGCTGTGTTTCTTGAAAATGCCAAAACGTTTGATAAGGTCCCACATAACCTTTTATTTTATAAATGATCTGCGTTAAGCATTGACCCTCAAGTACTGGCGTGGATTATTTCTTTCCTATCTTATCGTTGTCAGTCTGTTTATGCTAACAACACAACTTCCACTGCCATTCCTGTTGCTTCTGGCGTCCCTCAAGGAACTGTCCTTGGGCCTCTTCTTTTCCTAATATACATAAATGATCTCCCACTTCACATTCTTTCCTCTCTTCGTCTCTTCGCTGAGGATTGCGTTCTGTACAGAAAAGGAACAACCCCCGATGACTCCCTAACTTTACAAACAGACATTGTTAAAATAGCCGACTGGTGCGTTACGTGGCAGATGACTCTTAATATTAATAAATGTAAATGCATGCGTTTCTCCCGTTCTCCATCTTGCCCCCAGCCGAACCTCGAGCACTCTCCACGGTACAGCCCAGGCAGGTAGCTAGGGGGGAGGCCTATGGGGCCCGGGCCTCCCCCGAAATCTTCTATTTTGCTGGGACCTCCTCTCCCCCCTCCCCCTCATACAGCATTTTGTTATGGGCAGCCGCCCCCCCCCCCCCCCCCCCCCCCGAAACAAAATCCTGGCTACGTGCCTGGTACAGCCCTTACTTATACTAATGAGTATAAGTATCTAGGTGTTCGCATTACTTCTGATCTCTCCTGGCATACCCATATTAATACTATCATAGCATCGGCTAACCGCAGCTTAGGATATTTACGCCGCAAGTTCAAGTCTGCTTCTCCTGTCCTTAAACGTCTTCTCTATACTACCCTTGTCCGCCCTAAATTAGAATATGCATCTTCGATTTGGAGTCCTCATCAACTAATCTTAGAAAACAAAATTGATTCTGTCCAGAATTGCGCCGTTCGTTTCATCCTGTCTGATTACTCACGTTTCTCCAGTGTGTCTGCCATGAAAGCCCAGCTCGACATCCCCAATCTTTCTGTTCGTCTTAACTATCCCCGTCTATGTCCTCTGCACAAGATTTATTACCACCCAACCTTACATCACTGCCTGCTTCACCCGCCTACTTACATCTCTCCGAGGTTTGATCATCCCTGCAAGATAGCCCGGCCGAAATGCAACTCAACGGCCTACCTTTATTCTACCTTTCCAGACACCATTGTGAGCTGGAACGACCTTCCTGAGAATATCGTCACCATCAGCGACGGCACCTTGTTTCGGAGCGTTATATCTAATGCCTTACTAACCCCACTCCCCTCTGTAATGCCAACTGGCCTTGAGGGTATTCGAAATAAATAAAAATTAATAAATAAATAAATATCTGGACATGAGTGTTTTTGAACATGCATGCAAGCTGTTTTGCTGATAAACTAAGTTTTAGTCTAGGTACATTTGAACATGGGTCACGGCCGGTTCTAACGGTCGACGGAGTACGCTGCGCCATATGGCAGCCATCATCCGGGTAAATGCTACAGTTGATCCCTAGCGGTTCACATGGAGCTGCTTTAGGCCGGACAGTCATTATATAAAATAGCACCGAGCTTAGAATGCTACCCTGAAGAAGGCCTCTATCTGTTCCATGGAAGTTGCTAACCGTTTTTTCAAGACTGCTCTGAAACTGTCAACCAGATAAAGCAAAAAATGCCGACAAACTTTTGAACGCTGCCCGTGATATTAAGTCACTGAATAAATGGGACAGAACGTTTTATCAAACGCTCATTGAACGCCGTTTTATCTAACGCCATTTTATTAAATGCTTTTTGAAGCAGTGTTTCAGAGTCACCTGGTACATTCAAAATATAACGAAGAGTTGTTTAACTTAATTACCTGAGTTAGTAAACGATTTAATGCAGAAAAAATTGCTGTCACAACCGAATTTGTTCGTTTCTATCTTGATTACTTGAATTCTGCAACATCCTCATCAATGTCTTCTCTCCGAGCTGTCGTCTCTGCAATGACACCTTTTAGTACTTACCTGGCTTAGTCATTTTTTCGCATCTCAAGACTGGATCATATCACCTTTATAGAGACAGATACTTGCCAGTCACAAAGGAGAACATGCCGCAGTTCCAGCAGCGTAACATTGTAGCTGAATTGAAAACGACCTTATTCAAAAGGTGGCGGCAATTCTCACATTTTAGTAAGTGAAACTCGTTTAGAACGAACCCACGTACAGCGAATTATTGTCGATATCGAACTCGTGCAAAATTTAAAGAAAAATGCATATAAAAAGTACTTTTCATAACGAACAACATATTGACTATATCGAACTTCTTCCCCCCGGGAAGGCTCGCAAAAACGAGCAAACAATCGTCATCTAGCCTGTCCCTCCCCCCCCCCCCCCCCCCCCCCCAAAAAAAAAAAATCTAGGAAGGAAAGAAAATTTCAAAAGCTCAAGCCGCGAACAAAATTGACAAGAAGAAGCGATTCAGAAGGGGAGAAAGGTTAAAAAAAACTTCTCAAAGCGGTTGCGTACGAAGGGAAGTGATTCAGAAGGGAAGATAAGCTAAAAGAACAGACTCTGCACGCATGCAAAAAAAAAAATAATAATAAAAAGAAACTTTTTAGTGCTTTGTTACATAGTGGAAGCGAAGAGATGAGAGAGAAAGAGAAGCTCTAACCTTACAACGGACGCGTCGTGGAAGTTCGTTGTAAATGGTTTTTGCTATATCGAACTACTTGCTATATCGAACTGATCGTAGCGTTTCCTGTTGTTCGTTATAAACGTGTTTAATTATATGTTCCAAAAAATGAAAATAAAAATTTTTTTTAGGAAAAGTAAAACAGAATGAAAGGTGAACAGATTAAACCTTTTTCTCTTCTGCTGAGGGCTCGCGGAGGTATTTCCCCCTCCCCCTCCTTCCAGCCAAACCTTCAGCTGTACGCGCTGTCCCATGAATCCTCAAGACTCCGGGCCTTCAACCCACCTCTGGAACAGAGAGGCTGACCATGATGGAGATGTCCGCCAGGCTCTTCTCCTTACCCACCAGGTACCGCTGGCTTTTGTCCCCCAGGATGCTTTCAAATGTCCGGAAGCTTGCTTTCATAGCTTCTTCCTTCTGGTTGTCCTTGGGCTGGCCTTTCAGCAGATATGAGTACTGCAGAAACACATACACCCTAAGTTTGCAGCGTCCGACCCCAGGAAGCGTTACCAAGCTACATAAAGTGCAGAAGCCTCAATAAACGAATGATTATCATTAGTAAAATCCAGACCTAGGTCTGATGCGCACCTCAATCGAGCATCTCATAGAAGGCTTGGGGATTAAGTTCATTTTCAGCGCATTTCTGCCAGCTTTGACCCCTGTCCTGATTTATACAACTCTCTCCTATAGAAACGATGACAAAATGTGAATTCACATTCGACGACCGAAGCGAGAAACATTACATTTAACAAGGCTGTATTTAGAGCATTGGAACGTAAATAATGGCGTCCCCTCACCTCGACTCTGGTTAGCATAAAGCAGTGAACGAAACACCCGAGGTTGACCAACTGTCTACATTAACAGCGTTAGGGGCGTGATTTAGAAAAGGGACGAGGCGAGAAAACCTGAAACACTAGGGAGTTTTAGAATAGCGCACCCAAGCGCTCTTCTCACCAAATGAAATAAGGTCTCGCTACTGCACATGCGCCGAACCCCTGCGACGTTTTGAGTGTTAAAAGCCGCTCGCCATTTTTTTTTTTTTTTTTTTTTTTCAGAAACATGGGCAGCAACGTGGCTCTAAATGGTATTGTGCCGTGTTGACTCGGTTGAAACTTGTGAAGAACACGACAATTAAGCCAGTTTGACCGTGACGGAAATAGTTAGCTTGTGCATTGTATATCAATCAATTTTGAAAATAATATTCAAGATTAACACCTTTTGATAGCATTTCGTACGCATAATAGAGCCAATGACTACATCTTAGTGCAGTCTTAGTGCCGGACGTTTGTTTTAATTATTACTGCCGCGGTGAATCGCTATTTTAGAACTCCCGTATGTCTAGTAAAGTTTTCGTCCAGAATGTTTCTCGGTCCCCAAGCAGAAAACCACGAAAGCACTGCCTTCCTATTAATTTTTTTTCTTCTGCTATTTTTTTCTGTATCGTTTTTACTTATTTGCTCTTAAACGTTTCGCTTTCATTGACCGTACCCTTTCCAAGCGAGTATTTCCCCGTACGATGGCGGCAAAAAGTCGATGTTTCCAAGGGCTGATCGACCGCGGACCCCCCTACTGCGTGAAGCCAGTTTGAAGCGCTGCGGGTCCACGCTTTCCTGATAGTGGCTCGTTGACCTTCCTTTCACCTAACCTTCAGCAGCGGTCATACTGCTAATACATCTTACAGAATACAGTTTGCAGACATTCGAGAGTTTTAGGGAATCGCTCTTGAACATGATACGGTACGATGGGCCGTCCGGTATGAACTGCGCATGCGCGAGTTTTCTGCACATGCGCAGTTCGTACCGGAGTGCCCATCGGACCGTATCGAATTTCCAAAAAAGGTTCCCTAAAACTCTCTACTGTCTGAGGCATTTCTCGTATAGCGGTCCCATAACATTGGTCGCACAAAGACTATCGAAGACACCGTTTAAAGCACACATATATGTGTTTGTTATGTATGAAGCAAACATGCTTCAAACATGTTAGAGGCTTGTATGCACATAATTCTGCCATCATGTCTGCAGACACTTCACTGCGTCTTTTGTATGATGCATGAGCAGTAATGTCGTGGGAGTGCATTTGGCATATCGTTTCTCGACGCAAGCTTACGAAGTAGGTCGATATGTCCTTGTAGAGGGTTCCGATGTCGAAGTCCAGGAGCTGGTCGATGAGGGCCCGCTTCTTGATGTCCTTCGGGTAGAGCGGGTGGTTGGGCGCGTACATGTCCACCAGGTAGCGCATGATGGCCCGGCTGTGACAAAAGTAGAAGCACGTCTTCAAGCAGCCACATTTCATAACTTATAGACTGGCCATTGTTGGTGGAACACGCCTCCTTGGTGTATCAGTCTGAAAACCGTGGGCTAACCTTAACAATGCTTGACTACCAGAAAATCTGTACACACCAGGAGCAAGATGGTGGTCCCCAAAGGCCGTGCTCTCAGGCGTGTGGGTCATTCTAATAATCGCCCTCTGAGGGCTCCCACTTTTGTCCACTGGTCATGGTTTGTGAAACGGGTTCTGAGCATGAGCAGTAGCTGTTCTTTGAGGATGCCTCGTGACTCGTCATTTTTCGTCTGGATGACAAGCTCTGGGAGGGTATGTACAGCCTGCTTTGTTGTATACGAACGGCCAGAGTTCGGCGAGGAGAATGGTGCGGACCCGTTATGTCGGATTCACATGATGTGACTTTGCTTACAATTTCTCAGTTGCAACTTCGGGCAGAACAGCTTCTGCAACCCTTTCTTATTTTATTTTTTTATTTATTTATTTCTTTTTTTTTTCTTTGCGAAAGAGCGCAAAATAACGTTGCACCATGTGATTCATGCTTCAGACATAAAAAAACGACAGCGACGCCACTTTCCGCGTCCGTCTGCAGATTGGCATTCGATCAAAGCAATCAGGACATGACGGCACCAAAGGCGACCTTTTACTACTGCCTTAATCAACGCTTTCTATGCTTGGCTGCGTAGGGTTATCGTCGCGCAAATTCGTCCTTTTGTATCTACTTATTGGGAGGCTTTGCGCTCGGAAACGCACCACCACAACAATGATGTAACGAACCCAAATTCAAGCCGACGACAGCGACGCCTCGCCTTCGTTGCTGATACGCCGACAAAATCCTAATAACCAACAGTCCTAATAACGACAACGACGCCTTTTTATTAATATTTTTCCGCGCGGCTTCACAGCCATTGATAAGAATCTGGGCCGGTTTACTGTAAACGAAATGAACCGTGTAATGTGCGTGGCTTGCAGTGAGGTCATATCAGCGGTCATTGTGGTTGTGGCCTTGTTGCTGAGTGCTATACCTTCTGCAGCGTTATCTAAACCCTGAGGTACAGAGAAACAGAATACGGACAATAGATTTTGTGTCATATTGTCCGTTTTAGAGCGCAGCTCTTAGGGGCCCGTTTCCGGCTCGAGCGGCGTCGGCGTCGGCGTCGGCGTAACCGCGCGGTGCATCATGGGAAATGTCCCATAATGCACCGCGCGAGCCCCCACTGGGGTCACGTGACCTCGTGGGGGCAGGTGACCCCCCCGAGGTCACGTGACCCCGGTGCATCATGGGAAATGTCCCATAATGCACCGTGCGAGCCCCCCTCCGGGGTCACGTGACCTCGTGGGGGCACGTGACCCCCCCGAGGTCACGTGACCCCCCCGGTCACGTGACTCCCCTGAGGTCACGTGACCCCCGCCGATGTTGCGTGACCCCCAATGACGTCATCGTCACTGATGACGTCACCGGCATCCAGATCGTCATCGTGATCATCACTGATGACGTCACCGGCATCCACATCGTCATCGTCATCATCACTGATGACGTCACCGGCATCCACATCGTCATCGTCATCATCACTGATGACGTCACCGGCATCCGCATCGTCATCGTCATCATCACTGATGACGTTACCGACATCCGCATCGTCATCGTCATCATCACTGATGACGTCATCAGTGACGTCACTGATGTCGTCACCGGCATCCACATCGTCATCATCACTGATGACGTTACCGACATCCGCATCGTCATCGTCATCATCACTGATGACGTCACCGACATTCGCATCGTCATCGTCATCATCACTGGTGAAGTCATCAGTGACGTCACTAATGACGTCATCGGTACCCGCATCGTCATCGTCACTGATGACGTCATCAGTGACAAGGTCACGTGACCCCCAAGGTCACGTGACCCCCCTGGTTAGTTTAACCCCCCCCCCCCCAGTGCCCTTCCCTCCTCCTCAAGAGCTGCGCTCTAATTCGGCGTTACAGGGAGTTGTAAGCAGCTTTCATTTTTTTCTATTTCGTCGTATCTCAGGGCTTAGATTACGATGCTTTTTTTTATGTTTGAGTCTCACTAAAGCGACAAACAGAAACAAAAGACAATGACAAGCCTCAATCCAGAGTCCTTCGCGATTTTACAGGCTCTGTAGGATAGGAGGTTATTCTCAAACAGTAGCATCGTGCACGCGGGGGTACCTTTGGGAGGCTTGGAATTACTCGTGCTTACTTCACGAGCACCGAACGACTGCCAAAGGTACCATCGCGAGAACGCTGCATGTGTTGGAGGCTTGTCGCTGTCGTTTGTTTCTGTTTGTCGTTCTAGACGGCGTCGGGCATAACTAGCTCGCCTGCATACTTTCGTTTCTTGCAAACCTTCTGAAGCACACGTTTTGCACCACGGAATTTGTTTTAGAGCGCAGCTCTTAGGGGCCCGTTCCCGGCTTGAGCGGCGTCGGCGTCGCCGTCGGCGTCGGCGTAGCCAAGGTCATCCCAAGGTCACGTGGCCCCCAAGGTCATGTGACCCCCAAGGTCACCCCAAGGTTACGTGACCCCAGAGGTCACGTGACCCCCAAGGTCACGTGACACCCAAAGTGACGTGACCCCCCTGAAGTCACGTGACCACCCCCCGAAGTCACGTGACACCCCCAGGTCACGTGACCCCCGCCGAGGTCACGTGACCTCCCCGATGACGTCGTCGTCACTGATGACGTCACCGGCATCCGCATCGTCATCATCACTGATGACGTCATCAGTGACGTCACTGATGACGTCATCAGTGATGATGATGACGATGCGGATGCCGGTGAGGCCATCAGTGACGTCACTGATGACGTCATCAGTGATGATGACGATGACGATGCGGATGCCAGTGACGTCATCAGCGACGTCACTGATGACGTCACGATGACGATTCGGATGCCAGTGAGGTCATGAGTGACGTCACTGATGACGTCATCAGTGATGATGACGATGACGATGCGGATGCCGTCGACGTCATCAGTGACGATGTCAGCGGGGAGGTCACGTGACCCTGGGGGTGGTCACGTGACCTGGGGTGTCACGTGACTTCGGGGGCATCCGCATCGTCATCGTCATCATCACAGATGACGCCATCAGTGACGTCACTGATGACGTCACCGACATCCGCATCGTCATCGTTATCATCGCTGATGACGTCATCGGAGTCCGCATCGTCATCGTCACTGATGACGTCATCTGTGACGTCACTGATGACATCATCGGCATCGTCACGTGACCCCGCAAGGTCACGTGACCCCCCCCCCCCCAGGTCACTTCACCCCCCCAGTACCCTTCCCTCCTCCTCAAGAGCTGCGCTCTAATTCGGTGTTACAGGGAGTTGTAAACAGCTTTCACTTTTTTTCTCGGCCAGAACAAGTAGGAATGACCACTAGGTCTGTGCAATGACGTCACGTACAAGCCCTGTATTCAAGACTGTCTGCAGACTGCAGGTAAGCACTGCCCAAGCCAGCGTACGAAAGTAGAAGCACTTGAAGATGGCGTTTTATATAGTCTCGCGCAGGGCCGGATTAAGGAATTTTGGGACCCTGGGCGAAGTCAGTTCATGATGTCCCTAATAATAATATAGTACTGAATATGATGACGATGGTGGTGGTGGTAAGTGCAATGACGGCAATATGTATATTTCACCACCTAATAAAACACAAATATTGTTGAATTTATGATACATGTTGAAAAGTTTCTGTATCGGTAGATTCGACGATTAGGAAATTCGGGTTTCACTGTCTGAGAATGAGGTAGATGTGATTGTGGATTGGAGGCTGTTTCGGAAACAGTCAATCACTCACTAAGAGCGCAAAGCAATGAACAATTGGGGAAACTGTTAAGAAGTGTCGCGCACATTCAGCAGCTTTACGGCCTCGTAAACTTACGTTGGAAGGTTTAAAATGATGATTCTTCGTTCCAATGAACTTGTTTGATCAGGTCTACAAGCTTATTTATGCAGTACGTGTCTCTACCGGCTTGCATAAATTGATCATGATGTTGAGTTAGATGGTATAGATGACACGCTTGATGTCGAGTGTCATGATTACTTGGAAACAAACTGCATTAAACAGTAACCGAAAGAATACCCTCAAAAATTGAATTACAAAAAGAAAAAAATTTTCGCTGCCCCTAAAGTCAAGCCTTGCGAATCGCAACTCGAAAACTACCCAGAGAATATAGTATTTTTATTTCAGAAATTTCTCCGATTGATTGGAGCTTGTCTAACGAGCCCTTTTTAATTAATTAATGACTCGAACAACACAGACAACAAAGTAATCATGATGGTTAAAGTATTTAAGTCTCAAACCGCCTCGTTCATACTCCTTTAATAACTGAACTCCCGTGTTCCAAACAAACATACTTCTCCATTCAATTAATAAAATAAATAACTGAGACTGAATGCGATTACAACACTGTCATTTGGGCGCATTCACAGGCATTTCTCATAAAGATCAAGGATATATTTTTAAGCTCCTCGCCGACAGAGTGCCCACTTGAAGGGAAAAATGTTTCCATTAGTTTTGAAAGTGTTCTTGTTTCTTCCAATTTCAATAATTAAGAAACTTTTTTAGCCATTTGGACGTATTACTTTAAGCTAAGAATAATAGGTCATACCTCAGAGGCTCGTAAAAAAAAATACTAGCGATCATATCACTCGATATGGCACGAAAAGTGTTCTCTCGCACTGGCAGACGAGACACAAGCTCCTGAAAAGTTGCCATGCGGTCACTGACTCTCCAAAACTTTTAGGCGACATCTCAAGAGCCGGCTCATTGAAACGTCTGTTATGCCGGGGCCACACTGCTCATGCATCATACCAAAGACGGTCTGCACACACGAGTCACTGCAATATCCATGGTTCGAATGCCTCGTGCCAAGTTTTCTCCTTGAACTCATTGCCATGCAGCCTTCGAAGCTCTGATCTCGCAGTGACTCGCGTTCGAATCTGTCGTTTGTATGATGTATAAGCAGAGGGAAACCGGCTTTAGTGGTAAATAGGGTGGCTTTGGGAGGTTCACCGATATTTCATTATTTCTTGTATTAAACTTGTCGTTTTGGAGGAGACTTTTCATGTGGAACTACGCTACAGGACCAAAAAGGAACAAAAAAATGTGTTGCATGTATTTTGCTCGTGTAGCCTTTGGCAACACTTCCTTGCCTTCCAACCTACCGTTGTCTGTAAAACTCGTCGAGGCGGCCACAGTAAAATAGAAAGCTCCGTGGCCGTCCTTTAGCGGGACCACCAGCGTCGACAGCTTTGCTCCCTCCACAAGGAGTGTGGGAGGCAACGCTTAGATGTTGTTGCTCTAGCACAATATTCAACAACGAGCTCACAAACACCAGCTCTACTAGAGAAGGAAACTTCATGGCCTTCCTGTTTCGCCGTTAAAAAAAAAGAAAAAAAAAGAAGGAGAGGGAGGGGGAGGGGGAGGGGAGGGGGAGTGGACGACACCAGAAAGCCAGGGCCCAGAAGCTCCTGTGAGCTGTTTTAAACTAAAACCGACAAACATTTTTTTTTTTTTTAATTTCAGGGGTTTAACACGGGGCCCCCTGGCAGCCTAGGGCCCTGGGCTGCAGCTCCTTAGCCCGTATACTTTAATACGGCCCTGCTCTCACGCCCAGCATTGAAAGTGCTTCCATCTCAATGCGGCCATTGCTTGTTTATTTATTTGGGCGTGATGGGAAGGGGTAGGGTGCACAGGAAGACAACCTAGAAAAGGCGAGGGGGAGGCAGGATATGCAAGTCTTTAGGGGAAGAGGTTGCAAGCAGGAAGTTGAAAATATTAAAAAGAGGGCGACAAGAACGGCACGACGTCTCCATGAGTTGCCTGACCTCCAGTAAGCGCTCGTTGCCTTCCACCGTGCTTTGGTGTCGCGTGCTCAATCAAGGATAGCGAGACGCCCAGGAGTTATCGAAGGTTGGAGCTCGTGCTGGAGGCAAGATAGACTGCAAAATTCCCTGTCGTTCATATCCTGTCAGGCCTGCTTCGGGCGGGGCAATTCCTCCCAGCAACTTCATTTAAGACCTGGAAAGCTACGAAAACTCTCCATCAACACTGACATTGCTGGGAAAGTTGCCCTGTCTGAAGCGGACTGGTGACTAGATACTTAAAGGGAAGAAAAAATATCGTTGACATGTTTCCTATCTGACAGTCAAATCATGTTTTCCAGAGTCTCTGGTTGTATCCTATAATTAACACCGTAAAAATAATATCTTATTGGCGGTGGCTTGGGAGTCGGGACACAAACGCTGCACGCCCGGACAGCTCACCTTTCCCACAGCACGAAGGTGTCGTCGACCAGGGTAGGGATCGTGTGCGCCTGGTTCATCTAAAAAAAAAAAAAAAAAAAAAAAAAACGAATAATAACAGCGTCATTTTTTTTTTAGAGCAAATCAGACGGTAAAATAGAACACGAACGTTTTTGTTTTTTTTATGCGCCAACGTCCACCTATACGCCTGTAGTTTTCGTGAAAGAAATTACATTGTGGGTGAATGCAGCGTTTATTTCAGTTACAATTTAAAAAAAAAAAAAAGTTTTTCGGTAAAAATAAAAACAAGATTGCATTTCTTTAAAAATGCTACAGACATTCACGATGCCATTTCTTGGATTAAGAAAATAGTTTGCTTGGTCGCGGTTCTGTTTTAGAGTGACAAATGGCGACATTGATTCATAGGCAACTAAGGTTGCAAACGTGAGAACGTTCGAGTTCGATCAAGCTTCATGTCTTCGAAGTTTCAGAACGAAATTTGACTACTAGTTGCACATGGGCGAAAGTTAAAACGGTCATGATCCGTTTTCAGTCTCGTACTTGGCCCTCAGTGTATACAGTAAAACCCTTTTTCTTTTTTTCGTGGCCCCAATTTTTTGCGAATTAATCAAAGAGGACACTAAATTTCGCTAATTGCAGACGCCTGCATTGAATCGCTTGCCCAAGTAGCACTCAATGTTGAGCGAACATTCCGTGGATGTTCTGAATGTTAAAGGAACGTTGAAACACCATTCGGACGTTCGAGTGCGAACATTCCCTTGAAGAGAAGCTGCTTAAACCCTAGGAACGTTCGTTGACGTACATTCGTATGCACAATGTTCTCGGAACGTCCCCTTTGGAACATTCATATGCGCAACATTCTTGGAACCTTCGCTTGCGAACATTCCTCTGATTTTCGCAGGTGAAGCCAACTTTACGGAGCTCTCACACAACCTGTGATTTGAAACATCATCCACTATATGCCACTTCGTGCCAAAATATGCAAATTAAGTGGAGTTTCTGGAAACTTAGCGTAAGGGATCCGTTTTATCTTATATGAGTCTACCGAGGAATGTGATATGAGGTGTAGGACAAAAACCAATGATTTTCAAAACTTGATAATGAACTTGGCACTCACTGCGTACATAGAGGGGCAGTTTTGAATGAACCAGATTTTTAGTCCCTTTTGACCAAAAAGTTTGACCAGAATTACCAAAAAGGGTTTAAAATGTGGGATGCCATGTACGCAGCACATTTTTGATTAAATAAGCTGACAAGTGACCGGTAGGAGTCAACTGTCGTTAGCACGTGCTCAGGCTGGTGCACTGGGAAAGCGGCTAGCTTGTGCTTGCGCCCTCTAAAAATCTCTCTCGATTAAAAAATATCGCCCTGTGAGGAGCTTTATCACATCCCTGTAAGTAGTGCGGCTCATTGGGGCTGTAGCCTAAGCAAGCCGTAATTGTGGAGTCTTTGTAAATAGACCTCAGAGAATGTTCCCTGAATGTAGCGATGTGCCCACGCCACATACCGAGGAGATTGAAAGGATGTCCCTGCATAAATTTGCAACATTTTAAGAAAGTTGCAAAAGTTCTTTGGATGTTCTGAGAACGTTCTTAGAACCTTGTTAGTATACTTGAATGTTGATTGAACGTCCTGGTAATGTTCTATGTCGTTCTCAGAGCGTTCTAAGAATGTCCCTTAGAAAACATTTACAGAATGTAGCGATAAGTGCCTGCGCCACATTCTGACAACGTTGATAGAATGTTCTTACGTAAATTTGCAACATTCCAAGAATGTTGCCTATGTTCTTTTAAACATTCCCGGAATGTTTTCAATACGTTCTGCCTACGAATCCTAGGAGGCGTGTCGGACTCAACTTGGGGTGGGCTTAGGACTAGCCACACAAACCTAAGAATGCAAGCGGGTGCCCCAAGCGGCCAAGCCTCATCAAACAATGCCCTGTTTTCGGACGGCACGCGAAAGAAGTGTGGCAAGACTTTAAAGGCCCTGCTAGGTTTCCTCCAGGACACAGGCCTCATGGACCGCCTGCGAATACCGTCGACATATCGCGACTCGTTGGAGGAAGTCTCTTCAAAATAGCCCTTCTTAGGTCTCGTCTCCTCCCCATGCCAGCGACTTTACTGGTAGGATAACCTATGATACAACATTTACGAGATAATAATACTACTACTGGCCATACAGAGACACAAGACGCAATTCCCGTTGTCTAAACCTCATTAATTTGACATGTTATTGTTCTGTGTCACTGCTTGAACAGCAAGAAGTTCATCTGTCCAAGAACTACGCTCTTCATAAATCCGCAAAGCCTTAAAAAAAAGTATAATTTTGACGTTTTTGGTGGGTCCTCAACAAACGGGCTCACCTTGAGGAATTCGGGCTTCATCTGGTCCTTGGTGAGCACGTTGACGACCTTCAGTTCGAGCACGAGTCCCGTCAGCTTGGCGACGATGATCACGGCCCTGCACGGCGGACTGGCCTTCATCTGGTACAGCACGAGGGACATCGCTGCCGCCGTGGGAACGCTTCGAGCAGTATTTTATTGATCGATTGACCGATTGATTTTCGGTTCAAAAACTTAGCTAGTCGAGGAGGCGTACCGAGTGGCTCATTCGCGACGTCTTCGTCCGGCTTTATAAACTCCCGGAATCTGGGCGGGACGGCTCGAGCGGACGGCTTCCTTTGCGGAAACGGCAGTTTTCGATAAGACCGTCGCGGAAAAGCGCCGCCTTACATGCTTGGTTTCCCCTGGATCGGTGAACAATGGCTTCTAAGGCCACAGACACAATGTCGCACGTCGTACACAAGACACGGTGTTCGCCGCCGACATGCCAGAATGATTTTCGGACACGCACCAAGCATGTTCGGAGCATGTTTGCTCCGTACATGAACATGTCTGCAGCCAGTGTTTGCATAACCAACGTGACAGGAAAGAAATGCGCCTCAGCCAGTGCCTGCAAAATGCCTTTTGAATGGTACATTAGCACCTTGGCTTTCTTTAACATATCCATGGATACTCCGCGGGCCGTGACAGCCTTCAAAAAAGTGGCACGCCCCAACTTAATTCGGGGACCTGCCTAAGCTGTCAACCTTGAGTCTAGGATGTGACTTACGACTGTGCACACGATGTGTGACGAACGAATGCGCGATTCGATGTTGTCGTGGAGGAGTCGTTTTGAAGGCGCCTTATCTATTCGACGGCGTTATCGTGGAATGACTTTTTTTTAAGAGATGCGTGTTATTAGGGAAAAAGAGAGAGAGAGAGAATGTGTGTAATTGTTATAATGTCATTAAAGTTTATTTACGTGTGAGTGTGCCTGAGGAAGAGAGGGAGATTTTTTTTTTCTTTGATGCTGCGGCTGTCAATGCATGTACAAGGCTAAGATCACGCCAAGCCTCCACCGGAGGTTTTTTGATTCATGCCCTCTCCGTTCATTAGGAAAAATAAGCATCCTTATTATTATTAATATTATTATTATTATTATTATTATTATTATTATTATTATTATTATTATTATATCGAGAAAGACAGGCGAACGTCCCTCGTGAATTTGGACCACGTAAGGTATAGCGCCCTACCCGGCGCCAAAGAGCATTCTGGGAGCTGGCTGTATAGAACCGGTTGTAGCCGACGACAGAGCTGACCTTGGAGGTGACGGAGGCAGTTTTTCTCTTGCTCTCATCAGTGTAATGTGGTGGATACCGCAGGACGAGGAGGACCGTACAAGATGTTCCCATAATTCCCGCGCGGCGCGACCCTAACGTCACGCCGCTGCGGTGGTGCTGTTGTCCGCATGGCGTCTGCGCAGGCGCTCAAACGAATCTAGTTTCGGCGGAGGCACAGTGCAGGCCCACACCCGGTATGGGAAAACGCTCACTTGTCGGTATATTCGCCCTCTTTTTTGTTTGGCGACACACACAGTGGCGCCATCTATTGGGTAGCTCCGGCACACTTCTGGTTCATCTATATTTCCTAATTTATTACTCATTATTCTTTTATCCAATGGCTGACTTAAGTCGGACAGTGCTATAAGCGTCGATTTCCAGAAGGTAGCGTGTATATCTGATTTCGCAAACGTGCCATACCCGCCGTCTAGTTCAGAACCGGAAGTGGTTGGGGGCTATTTGCACACTGGCGCCACCACAGTGGAATCATAACCAGTGGTCCCACCACTGATCTCAATGACAATTGCTGGATCGCGCTTGCCGCTCCCGCAAGTGAAGCCACCGGGCGTCACTCGCTTGGGATACGATTTGCCGTTTTTGCTAGCCTTTGCTGCGGTTTTCCAGCGTGCTGACGACACGTTTTCTACTCGTTCGTCGTCATTCGCCGAAGAAGTTTTTTGAAGACTCTGTGTATTGTTGAGACTTTCCGTTGTGAACACGTGGAAAATTTTACGAAAGTGCAGTGTCGCAGGAAAAAGGCACAACGCGTCGAAAGGAAGGGCTGGCGGCGTGTTCAAAGCATCCTTGGCACGCCGAAGTGCCGTGTCTCTGTGCCTTCGCGCGCTTGGATACCGACCAAGAACCGACGCCGTGTAAATGTGTTTAGCGAGTGCAATGTGCGTGAAGCCGTATCAAAAGGTACAACTCGTCGAAAACGTGTCGCCGGTGTCGCGGCGTGATCAAAGCTTCCTTGGCACGCCGAGTGATGCATCTTTGTGCCTTCGCACGCTTGGATACCGGTCAAGAATTGACGCCGCGCCAAAGTTCTGAACGTGTGTCGCGCGTAGATGCCTTTAGATCATTTATATATATCGGCCACGGAGTTCTGGATCGTCCAGCTGTTCCGGTGAGTTGCTATCAATAAAAGGGGGAGATCTGTACGTATTCTTATGTACTATATTAACCATGGCTATGTCCCAAATCTACTCTAATAGATTCCGTGGGAGCACGAATAGGGCAACGTTGTACGTGGAGCCAGGGGGGTTTTCGAAAGCAAAAGTACAAGACGGCGAGAATGAAAATCTTTGAAGCGCGGCCGATATGGTCGTGTGCAATCTGTTGACCAATTACAATTAGGCGAGTCGCGTAGGTTGATAATAAGCCAGCACTGATCAGTGATGAGGAGCTGTTGTGCACGGTATTGTGTAAATCGTCTAAGGACGAAAAAAAGACGTACCTTCTCCCCATCTTCCGTCGCTAGTGGACGCTGGATTAAGCTCGTTCCTAAACCGCGAGGGGAAAAGACGCTGATCCAGAGGCACGAACAGCTTCACGCACATTGCACTCGCTGAACACATACACACGGTGTCGGCTCTTGGTCGGTATCCAAGCGTGCGAAGGCACAGAGACACGGCACTTCGGCGTGCCAAGGATGCTTTGAACACGCCGCCAGCCCTTCCTTTCGACGCGTTGTGCCTTTTTCCTGCGACACTGCACTTTCGTAAAATTGTCCACGTGTTCACAACGGAAAGTCTCAACAATACACAGAGTCTTCAAAAAACTTCTTCGGCGAATGACGACGAACGAGTAGAAAACGTGTCGTCAGCACGCTGGAAAACCGCAGCAAAGGCTAGCAAAAACGGCAAATCGTATCCCAAGCGAGTGAAGCCCGGTGGCTTCACTTGCGCTGCAGCGAACAAGCGGGGAAGCGCGATCCAGCAATTGTCATAGAGATCAGTGGGTCCCACTCAAGGCCACTTCCGGTAATCGCGCATACACAGCGCTCCTCAAGCCGGATGGCGACAACTGAAGTTGTAAAACAAAAACAAACAAAAAAACAGGGTAAAAAAGAATAGCAATTGACTAAATTGAGTGCGTTAATGTTAATATTTTTAGAAAACATAATAAGCTAGTTAATAATGATAAACCAACATGGAAAGAAAAAATCGAGCAGTTACCGTTAGCTTCAAAAAGTTCATTGCCCTAACCGAAGGCATGTCGCCGGTCGCGTTGTCGGCGTTGTCGGTGTTGCTGTTCTGCGAATTTCTCTTTCCTAGTACATTTCCCTTTCGGTTGGATCCTCGCTTGGCGTTTTAATGTCACGTGAGTTACCGAATCACGCTATGAATGTGTTCTAAATGGGCCTGCTCAGGCAAGAAGCCAAAAAGCCGGGGACTCACTTCGCCGTTCAAGATTCCGGGATTCCGTTTCAAGCTCGTTGCTGGTGAGTGCAAACATTTTAAAGTGCTCGTGCTGTCCTTCGCGTCAGGCCATGGCACGATCGTCTTTTCTCCAACGCAGTGCATGTGACTCGGTTAATTTCTTAGTCGTATGTACGTCGGACGTGACTTGTAAAACGGTCGAGCGTAATGAATTGCTTGTTCACGCGCAACCTCCACGTATCGAAGCTTGCACACCACTTTACTGAAAAAATATAAATATCGTGGCAAATGACGCGGATCAGGACGTAACCTGGGATTTGCTAATCTGTAAAATCATAAAAGAGAAGATGTCATCATAGCTCAAGATAAAAAAAACAACAAAAAAACGCAACATTATAAAAGAGTAAAGCTATACGCACTCCGGAGTGCGCTTCGGACGGAAATGGCTATACGCACTCCGCTTTTCTCGTATAAAAAGAGTGGACACAACGAGTTTCCTAAGCGGTGCCATGGCGTAGTGGTTAGGGTGTCCGCTTCATACGCAGTTGGACGCGGGTTCGATCCGCGGTAAGCCTACTTTTTTTTTTTCTTTTTTTTCAAACATTTTGTTTAGTTGAGGCATTTGGCGATATTTACGACATTTCCTTTTTTGCAATGAACAGTAAAAAAAAAAAAAAATCGAATGTTGTCGAGAAACTTTGCAGAACTAAATGGTATCGGACTCCCTTTCCGGAGGTGCGATCGGGGACAGCGGGGCTTGGATTGCCGGCTGGACGCCGCGAAGCGGCGTGTACTGGTTACGCTTAGTAATTAGCAGCCGATACTGTCGCCGCGAAGCGGCGTGAACGCAGGCGGGGGGCTGTGTTAGCGAGCGCCCCAGTGATTCACGCGCCGTTCGAAAAGGGTGGCCCGAGCGGCATGATCTCTCGGAGGAGTGCGTATAGCCATTTCCGCGCGAAGCGCACTCCGGAGTGCGTATAGCTTTACTCTTATAAAAAGTGAATTTATCAGTTGTTATATATTTGCAAACAGGGTAAGCAAGTTGACTGGGCACATTGAACATAATTCTGAATTAAATAGTCAAATGGATGTCCCCTCAAGGGAATTAACAGAAGGCACCTCTAAAAAAAGTGTTGCTCAAACATGCCAATTTCCTGGGCTCACACCTGTCTTCTCTCTCTCGTCAGGATACCCTGTGGGTATGGCAGCATCTGGCACCTGTCGTCCAGCATGCGTCGAGACCCCTCCTCCTCCCGTCAAGCTACAGATATTATTTATCTCCGCTTGGCACATCATACAGTAAGACCCACAGTACTTATCTAATTTAGAAGTATAAGCAGGGACAGATCCAAGGGGGGGCGCCCCCCCCCCCCCCCAAACAAAGTCGACCCCCCTCCCCCATCTCAGAGGGCAACTTGACATGGCTGGACCCCCCGGTGCACACGAAAGAAGGGGAGAATAGCATCCTTACAAACTTTCTGCCCCCCCCCAAAGGGAGTTCTGGATCTGCCCCTGAGTATAAGGTGTGTCTCACTTCGTCCATTCACTGTATGCTGTTACTTTCTTGTTCCAGTACGATGGT